ATCAAGGGTTGGAATAGGACAAGTGGGAAAGGCCGCGGTGGCGAGTCCTGGTGTGAAATGAACCTTCATCTCTGACCTGGGGGCAGCTTTGTTGCACCCACTGGGGGTGAGTGCATGACGCCGGTGGCAGCCGCTGACGGGCACTGTGCTGACTCCACTGTCCTAAGCTTAAAAGGCAACTCCCCTGCTTGCCGCGATGTTATCTGGAAACCCAGCGACGACGCAAGTTCCTTCACCTGCCAAAAAGCACGTTTCGGAGCAGTCGCTACTCAAGAACTCTGGTTTTGTCATTTCCCTTTGTGAGTTAAACTTACAAACCTCAGTCCAATCCAAGGCTGGCTGTATTATTCAGGATTCTGCAGGGAAATAGAACCGATAGGATACACACGCATACAAAATGCAGGGGTTAGGTGTGCGCTGACCCCTTGCACAGTGGAAAAGCCACGGATAACTCCCCCAAAGCTTAACACCTAATAGCCTACTGTTGACCAAAAGCCTTACTGATAACAGAGTCAATTAACACATATTTTGTATTATATTCTGTATGTATTATATATGTATTATATTCTGTATTCTTACAACAAAGAATAGAGAAAGATATTAGAAAAATCATAAGGAAATTACATTTACTGTATTTATTTTATTTATTCCTTTATTTTTGTTGTTGTTATTTAATCCCCACACAAAGATATTTTTCCCCTGATTTTTTTTTTTTTTTTTTTTTTAGGGAGAGGAAGAGGGAGGGAAAGACAGACAGAAATATCAATGTGAGAGAAACACATCAATTGGTTGCCTCCTGCACGAGCCCTGACCAGGGCCCGGGCTGGGGAGCAGTCTGCAACCAAGGTACATGCCCTTGACCGGAATCGAACACAGGACCCTTTGGTCCGCAGGCCTACGCTCTATCCACTGAGCCAAACCGGCTAGGGCTACAGAATTTATTTTTTTAAATCCTTGTATAAGTAGACCTGTGCAGTTCAAACTCATGCTGTTCAAGGGCCAACTGTATACACACACACACGCACACACACACACACAGGGTCAACGTCCATACGTACTCACACACACAGTTCCCATATATATCGATTTGTGACAGGAATTAG